AATTTCTTGGCCCCACCAATTCATCACTTTTTCCAACTTTAACATATAAGAATTTTTCAAAGCATTCCAATTATTTAATGTGTTTCCTTCTAAAATCTGTACTAATTTCTCAAAGTCAGCATAACATGCTTCTTCTAGATTGAAATTAAAATTAATGATTTTCAAATATGATTTATCCTTCATCTTAATCATATCATATATTGATGATATTTAAAGCTATAATTCTTCCAAAATTTTCTTAAGCTGATTTTCAGTTTGAGCAAGCACTGATTTAAAATTCATTCTCTATTTTATTAATTCATTTTTTTAATCAAGCTCTGCTTCTTCTAATTTAGTGATAACCATTTTTAGATATTTTTTCTTAGAAGCTATAAATTTAATAACCTATCCTATCCATGATCATCAACGCATTCAGCAAAAAATTTCCTTTAGATTTTACATTTATGAGGTGCTATACATATCTAAGAGATTGGAATCGGAAAATGATCAGCACAATTCATTACCTTTTTTTAAAATAAATTGAATTTTCTATTATTTATTTTTCAAGCCTAATACCTTAAATCAAAAAATGCTACCATTTTTGTTAAAAAGGGACAAGAATTTATAGAATTTATAGAATTGATTATGATTGAGGTAATATTAGTTATTTGGTTATCATATAAACTTTACCAAATCTTCTTTAAGAAAATTGAATAAATAACTATACTGAGAAAATTGAATCTACTAAAGATAATTAATTTTATTTCGATCCAAATTTCTTGTTAAACATATTATTTTTTGTTTATCTTTTATCTTTCCTCTATCCAATTAAAATTTTTTTCTTAGATCTGGTTTTTGGTTGATTGAACTTTTTATCACTATAATTATGAATATATAAATTTAGTGTGATAATTTCTCTCTAAATTAATTCACATATTTCTAATAGGGATTGGGATCAATAATAAATCTTCTAAAACTTGCTTTATGTTATCATTATTATTTATTATTATCATTTTACTAACAATTATGGGTTTATCATTATTGATTTAAAAAAATGATGGTATTCGATTCTGAAAAATGAAATTTTATTTAAGTTTAGAAAATAATAATGATTACTTGAATAAAATTATATTGAAATTAAGTAAAAGTAATTAAAACGGATTTTATGTTAAAATTAAAAATGAGTACAACCTATTAAGAAAACCTTTGCTAAAAGAGGTAATTTCCATTAGGTAAATTGAAAGATAGCTTTAATAATTTATCTCAATTAGCTTGTATTATAGTGTATGAAAAATTTAAGAAATTTGTTAATTAGGATTTAAAATTCGTAGTAACTTATCTTTTTTTTCCATCTTCTAAAAATTATATAATATAATCATTTTTTCTGTTTATCGAATAATATTTTTTAACGATATCATTATTTTATTAATATTGATCTTAGAAAATTAATCTCTAAATAAGTCTATATAAAGATAAAATATAAGTTATTATAATTAAATATAAAGATCTAAAAAAATTATAGATGAAACCGTAATTTCGCAATATATTGAAAATAAATTATGTAATTATCTTATTACCAAATAAAAGTAAATGAATGCATAGAAAATTTGAAAGAAGGAATAGAGGTATATATATTATTTTATAAATTTAAATAGAACTCATTTAAGAAAATTGATGGCAAACTTGATGAACTTCTAAATAATGAGTTTAATTAGATTAATATAATAGTATCTTAATAATAATAACAATAACCAAAATTCAATTCTAATATATTACTTAAATTTTAAGATGACAATTTCCCAAAATAAATCTGTTAAGAAGTGACTTCTTTAATCTAAATTAATATTCAAAATCAACTCTAAAAGAAAGAACAATAATATCAAGAAATAATTAAACAAAATCAAATAAAATAGGAAAATTAAATTAAATAAAAGGATTCTTAGATTAATTCATAAACTATTCAATAATCATCAAAATTTATATCTACTCAATCGAATCTCAAATCATTTAATTATTAATTAATTAAAGAAAATTCAATTTAATAAGATCAATGGTGTAATGCAATAGCTGTTAATAAAGATTGCTCAATATTAGTTGCTGGATGTGATAAATAAATTAAAGTATTTGAATTCACACAAGAAATCTTAAAATAAGTTTAAATATTAAATGAACATGGAAATTATGTATGTACTTTAAATTTCATGAAGAGATCAGATCATTTTATATCTGGTAGTTAAGATAATTCAATCATAATATGGGCAAGAAATCAAAATAATTCCTGGATTTGTCAATAGAAATTGAATGGACATACAAGTAATATCTACTGTTTGTTATTAAATAATAATGAAGATATTATTGTATCTGGTAGTTATGATAATACGATTAAATTCTGGTATAAGTAAAATGGATGGTTGTGCTCTTAGACAATTACAGATCATACTGATCCTGTATGGGGATTAAGTTTCAATAAATAATAGAATAAATTGATATCTTGTGGACATGATAAATCTATATTAGTAATTGAACAACCAGAATTGAATAAATAATGGATTGTAATATAAAAGATTATAGTAGAATAATTTGGACATAGATTATGCTTTATTGATAATAATACATTCACATTCTATCCTTACAGTAGTAGCTACATAAATGTTTTTGAGATCAATAATACTAATAAATAGTATACCAAGACAAAAGATATACCTGTAAAAGGTAGTATTGATGATTGTTTCTTTGCTTCATTATATATACAATCAAAGTGTATTCTTGTGAATAAGAATGGTTCAAATGTAAGTTTAATAAGGAAGAAAAAAAATGGAGAGTTTATAACTGAACAATCTATTGAATTTGGAACTTAATTTATATATGGATATATGACTGATGATGGACAATATTTGATTACCTGGGATTATAAATCAAAAGAAATTCAAATCAGAAAATATGAGGAGAAATGAGTTCTTGAATTCTTATCAAATTAACATTATTCATCTATTTAGTATTATTTTATTTATCTAATTCATTCCAATCTTTTATCATTATATCTTTGAAATATTGAAACAGCAAATTATTTTTTTTTCTAGTTTTTGAATTTTTTTGATTCATTTCAAAAACAAATTCTTTGTGAAATGTTTTTCATGCAATTGTAGTGTTTACATAAAGATCAGAATTATTTAACCCAGTTGTAATAGGAAAATTTAGACTTATCAGATAAACTTAAATAGGAAATAATTATTTCAACCTAATTTAAAAAACATAAATAGCAATTAGAAAAGACATTGTTGAATTTAGATCAAGAAGATAAACTTATTTAGGAATAAAGTCTATGGCAGAAGAAATTTATTTATTGTTTTCAAATCAAATACGAATTTCATCATTTTCACCTTATTAATAGCTATAAGATGCAGGAATTTATGCTGTTTAAGATAATTTTGTAGAATCTATAAATAGAGATAAGTTAATCTAGTATTAAAGAATGTGGCCATTTAAGATATTGTGGTGAGTGTGTTGATATATGTCTTGCATCTAAATAGTGTTTTTATTGTAATAGATCCCTAATTAATTGTTATTTCCATTTTATAATATATATTTGGATTAGAAAATTTAAGATTACATTATCTATTGTATTTAAAATTATGATGAATAGTAAATTTAAGTTTAATTTCAATTTAATATGACCGTACTAATTACAAGCTTTCTATTACTTATTATTATGAACTACAAGATAATTGACAACATAGAGTATAACATTTTTAAGTCTAACCACAACCTCCATATAATATTGATTATCTTGGTATCTATTAAGTTTACAATTAGTAATTTTTGCTTAAAACCCTGCTTGAGTAAGAATTTTATGAACTTTTTATGCTAAAATTAATCTCTCTCACTTAGTCGTGATGGCATTTATATAAGAATTAGAGGAACCATATTTTATGCAATATTCTGTTGCCATTAATCTATTATGATATTTATCTAAGATTCTTAAATTTAAGATATACTGCTGTTATTCTTATCCAAATAGCATCCTATCCATAAATTGCTTAAATGGGTTTTAACTCATCTATTAAGTTCCATCAGCAGTGCGAGCACCGCTTGTATCTTTATTTCTAAAGTCCATTATTAACTAAATTTTTATAATTTATTTGAGTCATTATGTGTAACAAGTTCTTTGGAATTCAGATCTAATCTCTTCTCCTCCATTTGTATACATAAAATAATAGAAATACTAATTCGATGCTAATACCATTTACTTATTAATTGACAATATCATAGTAATTTATGCCATTGATAATTACATCTAATTTATTAATTAAGACTTGGAAGTGAATTCCTTTAATACTATTAGCTATATTTACTTTTAAAGATTTTATAGTCCTTGAAAATTGATATGAATATTGAGTTTGGAAAAAAGATGAAATTGAGAATTTAGTTAAGAAAAATAAAATTGTGAGTTTTGTGCCTAATCTTGCTGATTAATTAGCATATGTGATTAAATAAAAATTAATCAATATAGAAATGGGTTTTAAACAAATCTATTGCATATCCAAAACCTAACCATACTTTCTCTATCAAAGCATAGTTTTTTTCATGATTAACAATTATTGATTCATATTGAATTTGGATATTAGATCGAATAGATATTCTTATAACAAAATACTTTTATGCTCAAAATTGAAAACAATTTGTTTTCAATCTAAAATTAAGAAATTGTATAATTAAACTCAAATATTTATTTAGAGTTAGTTATGTGGTTGAATTCAATAATCCAATTATTTTTGGATCAATAAATGATAATGCAATTCTTAAAATATTCTGTTAGTTTATTTAGTAAATAAATTAATGAAATTTTTTTGGAAAAATACAAATTAAAATATTAAATGAGATCAAGAAATATCTTTTACATAAATCCATCATTTATAATTTTTAGTTTCTCTTAGTCAACTGAATAATTATTATTTTATTTTTTATAAATACAAAATTGAACCCAAAAATTTTAATTTCTTACTAAAAATTCTTTATTGAATAAGACAATAAGGAGGAAAATATAAAATAAAATATATTTCTAATAAATTAGTAAAATATCGGTTTTTGTTAAAGTGTATACACAGGTTTTATTAGGAATTTTATGGTATTGGCTTATATATACAAGAAAATTCATACACAATGTAAATAATAATTAAATTTCAAATCCTCATCTTCTCCAATATTTTTTACTATCTCTTTGTTTTTTATGGTTTTCTTTAACTTAAATATTTTTTTTCTAATTTACAAAATTTAAAATTCTTTAACTTTTCTAATCAATTCAAAACAATTAAATAGCCTCTTAATCTAGATAAAATCTTATTTTTATTCAAATTCATTACAAAGTTAAATTCTTCAGCCACATTAAAAATTTTTCTTTTTAATTTTCCAATAGTTATCCTTTTAGTTCATTGAAATAGATTTTAGATAGAAAGAGTGTCAAAATAGGTCCTTAATATATTTCCATCCAATAGATTCT